GCGTTGGGGGAGCCCGGGGCTCTTGCAAAGGGCCGAGTCTGGCCGGGGCCCGGGGCCCTCCGAGGCGCCCCTCTCTCTCCGGAGGGCAGAGAAGCGCTTGGACAGGTGGGCCGAGGGTCGGGGTGCCAAGCGCGGGGCTCCCCTTGGCATGCAACCCGCCTTTCCCAGCCTGCCCCCCCCCCCTCGGGTCGCGGGGCTTCCCCCCCCCCGAATTGCCCCGGCAGCAGCCCCAAGACCTGGGCCCCCCCCCCCCAAAAAAAAACGGGGCTTTGCCCCCCCCCCCTTCGGTTCCTCGCTCTTCCAAGCGGCTTTTTTTTCCAGGCGAGCCTCCCGGATCCAGACCGGGCAGCGCCTGCCCTCTAGTGGCCACCGGCGGGAAAGACCCGGGAGACCCTTTGGCCAGCCTTGCAACGGAGGGGGCGACGGGCCGCCGGAGAGCCCCGTTTTGCCTGCCCGAAAGTTTCGCCTTCCGGCGTTCACGGGACCTTTGGGCTTCTTTAGCAGCGGGGGTTTTGTGTCCTGTACCGTTTGTGCAGACGTTACGCAATGCATTTTGTAACAGTGTATGAATCCCACGCCTTTGTGTAGAAGCAGGGGTGTCCAACCGTGGCAACTTTAAGACTTGTGGACTTCAAGTCCCAGAATTCCTCAGCCGCTGAGGAATTCTGGGAGTTGAAGTCCACAAGTCTTAAAGTTGCCACGGTTGGACACCCCTGGTAGAGGGTTGTGTGTCGGGTGATGATGTGGGAAGGGCAAAACGGACTAGAGAATTGATCTAACTTTGTTTCAAGTTGGAAATCGCCACTGGACTTCTTTGCTCGGAGCTGGGGGGGAAAAAAGGAAAGTGATTTTATTTTTTCACGATTAGAATGGTTTTGTAAGTATAGAAATGACTTGAACTGTTGTCAAATCTTAAACAAAAGGCTGGGGTGTTCTGTGTAATCTACCGCACCAAAGAAAGTCAGAAGTCATTAAACTGGTTGCAAAGAGCCAAGAGCTGAACTGCTTTTACACAAGGCTCAGTGCCTCTCACGGTCCACGTGGATCCGCTGATAAATAGACGACTACCTGTAGTAATCTACCATCACCGCAGTTCATTGAGCGACCATGCAAAGTTACTGCAGCAGTGAAAAAGTGACTTATGGCCGTTTTCACACTTAGGACCACTGCAGCATCCCCATGGTCGCATGACCAAGATTTGGATGCTTGGCAAATGGTTCCTATTTATGATGGTTGCGTGTCCTGGGCTCACCTGAGCCGCTTTGGCGACGTTCCAACAAGCCAAATCAATGGGAAAGTCAGGTACACGGAACAACCATGTTGCTAAATAATGTCAATGATTCCCTTAACAACGGTGGCAAGAAAGGTTGTAAAATGGTGCAAAACTCACTTAACAAATATTTCACTGAATGACATACATTTTGGGCTCAATTGTCATCGTAAGTTGAGAACTACCTGTACTTTGGAACCTTTGACTTGCTCATTCCTGGGGTTCTTTGATAAGGTTACTGGGGACCAGGTGAGAGAGAGAAAGGGAGAGAGAGGGAGGGAGAGAGGAAGAGAGGGAGGGAGAGAGAGGAAGAAAGAGAGGAACAGAGAGAGGGAGAGAGAAGGGGAGAGGGAGAGAAGAAGAGAGAGGGAGAGAGGAAGAGAGAGAGAGGAAGAAAGAGAGAGGGAGGGAGAGAGGGAGAGAGAGGGGGGAGAGGAAGAGAGAAGGGGAGAGGGAGAGGAAGAGAGAGAGAGGAAGAAAGAGAGAGAGGGAGGGAGAGAGGAAGAGAGGAAGAGAGAGAGGAAGAGAGAAGGGGAGAGGGAGAGAGGGAGAAAGAGAGGGAGAGAGGAAGAGAGAGAGAGAGAGGAAGAAAGAGAGAGGGAGAGAGAGGAAGAGAAAGAGAGGGAGAGAGGAAGAGAGAGAGGGAGGGAGAGAGAGGATGAAAATATCCCGGGTGTTGAAAACCTCCGAATGACACGTCATCCATCGGGCGTCTCCCAAGGGCCTCACAAGCTGATCAAAAAATGAGGGGCTTGCTTGTCTTCACCTGGTGTTTCATCTCTTCCCCCAAATTCCTCCAAGATAACATCCTCAATCTTGGATGCATTCACATCGCTTGTGAAGTGGCCTAGGTTGCGAGGTTATTTATTTTTAAGCCACTTTATTATTTACAAATAACTCAAGGTGGGAAACCAACGCACCTTCCTTCCCCTATTATATTCCCCACAACCACCCTGTGAGGTGGATTGGGCAGAGAGAGGGAGGGGGGGGAGGGAGAGAGGGAGGGAGAGAGGGAGGGAGGGAGGGACCGGCCCACAGAAACATCCTCACAACTGCTTTTCTAGTTGAGATTAACTTTAATCCCATTTTTCAATTTCTTGGTGGAGTTTTTTTTGTGGGTAAAACTGGACCAAAACAGGTGGTAGAATATCTCTGCATTTTTATATATTAACAACTTATCAACATTTTTGCTGTCTTCATTAAGCAACGATGTGTTGGTGATTTCTGTTTTCTTTTGAACACATCTAAATAATCCTTTAATTCTGAACATTTATGCTCAGCCACCCTCTGACACCGATTCAACAGCTCCAGCATATTGGTCTGGACTTCCCATTCCTGTTTTAATTTCCAGACCTTTCCTAAGATTTTAGGGGAGCCGTGCTGGCATTTAGTTTTGGGTTTAAATTATCTTTGCCTCTTCTGTAATTTTTATGAAGTTTTTAATGTTTTAATATTTCACCTGCACGCTGCCCAGAGTCCCTCAGTGAGCGAGAGAGGAGCAGATTCTACATTTGATCCAATAAAGCATCCCATCAACAGAACGGTCCGCATTTTCTTCTGGACGGAATCGTTGTGCAATTGTGCTGCTTAACGTACAAGGAACAGGAGCGCCTTTTGTCGGTGCTCTGGGTTGATTAAACTGCTTTTGAAGTCCACCACCTGGGTTCAATTACCCTTGGCTGCTAGACCAAGGTCTCCCGGCCACCTGGTTTACCTTATCGCTTCTGGGATCCAAGGTCAAAATCAAAAGGCCGCATGACAGGGGCCTCCGGTCCTCCCACTTCCTCTCAGCTGCTGCCTTTTCTACTTAAGGGACCGGCTTCAAAACTGCTCCCATCACATGATCCCAGCCGGGGCTCTCCTCCTCCCAAGGGGAGGGGAGGGGAGGGGAGGGAGCAGGGAGGGCTATCCACACAGAACAGCAGAATCGGAAGGGGCCTCGGAGGTCTTCTAGTCCAGCCCGCTGCTCAAGCAAACGACTACCGTTCCGGACCAATGGGTCTCCTTGACAACCTCCAGTGATGCAGCTCCCATCATTCTCCCACCAGGCAAGCTACTGGATGTGTTTCCGCTGTCAGGAAATGCCTCCGTTCCAGGCTGGGTCTCTCCATTTCTCTCTTCATTTCTTGTCCTGCCCTGCGGTGCTTTGGGGAGCAGGGCCTGCTTGTGAGGGGGGGGAGGACCCCGCAATGGGAAAGGCAGGGAAGGAGACCCCCCCCACCCACCGTGGGACCATCCCCATCCGAGGCTGACAGACCGAAAGGACCCTTCCTGCAGCCCAGCCCACCCCCCCAGTTGGAAGCAAGCAGGCCACCCGGGGCTCCTGCCCGCTGCCCACCTCCTCCAGGTGAGTCGCAGCATTGCGGATGGATTGGCAGGTCCTCCCGCCAATCGCCTTGACCCGGTCAGGGGCCTTGCGTGGGAGGGCTGAAAGAGCAGGCCCTGCCGGCCGTGGGGCTGGGGTGGGGGGTCCGAGGCCTGGCTCAGTTCCTGATGGACTCTCCCGTCCTCTGGAGCAGGGCCCTCCAACCGTAGCCGCTTGTAAGACTTTGGACTTCAACTCCCAGAATCCCAAAGCTGGCTGGGGAATTCTGGGAGCTGAAGTCCACAAGTCTTACAAGTGGCCAAGGTTGGAAAGGCCTGCTCTGGAGGGCAATGCCGGCCCCATTCCGCCCCCAAAGGTATCCTTCTATGGGTCGCCTCCTCCTCCATCCTCAGACAGTGTCCCAACAGGTGAGGTTAGGTGTGCGGACAGGCAGCGTGATGACTTTAAATGCCAGAGGGACCCTCCCTGGGGAGCCCCATGTGGAACCTCAAGCAAAGCAATGCCCCCTCCCCCACTGAGAACCCACCCACCCCCTTCCCGATGAAAGAAAGACAACAGCCGTTCTCTTTTTGGATAACTATATTGGTTTAAGAAAATACAGAAATACTGCACAGTCGCCATCAGAGCAGCCCTTGGCAGGCCCCTCCCCCGACAGCATCCCAAATTAACAGCACAAAGGAAAAAGGGAGGGGGGGGGCCTTCTCTGCAGAGCCGCTCCAGGTGGTGCCCTTTCCTAGAAGGACAGAGAAAGAGTCTGGCAAGCGGAGGCCTGGGGGGCAGCCGGAGCAGAGAAGACATTCACCCCCCCACCTCAATCAGCAAGCATCTGCACCAGGCAGGAACCAGCAGTTGGCTGGCTTTAGTTGGTGCCCCCTTCCCCCCCCCCACATTAAAAGGCAGGTTTGCCACCCCCTGTGAAGGGATCTGCACCCACCACCCACCACCGCCATGGGGGCTCGATCCTGCCAGAGTTCCTGAGGAAAGAGGCAGCGCTCAGAAGAGTTTTCAAAAGCCCCCCCCCCGCCTCCCTCCAAGTGCAAAACAGATAAATGGCAGGGAAAAGAAAAGGGGGTGGGGGGCAGGGGAGACCCCCCACCCCCAGGATCAGAAGTCAGAGAACCAGCGCCGCTTCCTACTCCGATCGCCGCTGAAAGAACCGTCTACTCTGGGCCAACTGAACAGGACAGGCTGGGGGTGGTGGGTGGGGGAGGGGTTCAGGCTTGCCCCCCCCCTCCCCCAGACATCCACGGGCTGCCCCTCCAGAGCAGGGGGTCTCCAACCTCGCCCCCTTTTAAGACTCGCGGACTTCAACTCCCAGAATTCCTCAGCCAGCAAAGACTTGGAAGTCCGCGAGTCTTAAAGGGGGCCGAGGTTGGAGACCCCCTGCACCGCTTCCTCCTCCCCGGGAAGCCAAAGCAGCAGAGTTGGGGGGAAATCCTCCCCCCTCCCCTTGAGGAGAAGCCAAGCCCCTCCCCACAAGGGGGGTTTCCCCGTTTCCCAGCAAATCCTCCAAGCGGAAGAGGGGCTGTTCTGGGACCTGGGGGGGGGCAGGGATCTGCCCCTTTGAAGTGGGATCCCATCATGGATCCTCTGGGGCGGAAGAGCTCCGGGGGTCAGGAGGCCAACTACCCATCATCCAAGGCTGAGGAGCATCAGGTTGAAGGACATCCCCTTAAGCCGGGGTTTCTCCACCCGGCCCGCTTTAAGACAGGCGGACTTCCCCTCCCAGAATCCCCCCCAGCCAGCGCAGGCTCAAGGTCAGGGTCCCAAACCGCATACAAGAACTTAACCTGGACCTCCAGGGACCCAACGGGGCTGCTTGATTTTGGCTCCAAGCCCAGGAGAAGATGTGGGCCTCGCGGGGGAGCAGAGTGGGCCCCCCTGTTTTGGACAGCATAGCTGGCCCCCCCCCCCCCCCCCACCTCCCCAACGGCCAAAAGGCCTCAGCTCTGCTTCAGAGGAGGAGCTGGAGGCCAAAGACCCCCATCTGCCCCCTGGACTTGGGACGCTTTGACTAGAAACCCAGCGAATCCCACCGCAGGGGACTTGAAGGCACTTTTTTTGTCTCCAGTCGTTTCCTTCACTGTTCTGCAGCCCCGGAAAGCAGTCTGAAGCCCAGACACAGGGAGCCCACTTCTACATCCCCCACCCCATGGCAAGGCACTCTAGACATGCTCAGGCACCGTGTGCCATTCGTAGGGTTGGGCAAAGGGGCCGGGCGCAGAGATCAGCATTGGCGCTGAAGCAAAGCATTGGCCAAGAAGCAACTAAGGCAGGGGACTCCAACTTTGGGCCCTTTAAGCCTGGCGGACTTCAACTCCCAGAATTCTTTGCTGGCTGGGGAATTCTGGGAGTTGAAGTCCTCCAGGCTTTAAAAGGGGCCAAGGTTGGAGACCCCTCATCTAAAGGCGGCTTCTCTTCTTACAAAGAGGACGTGGAAGGCCGCCTGCAAAAACAAAGAGGGGCTGTAAACTTACATTTCCCCCTTAAAACTGTGAAGTTTGGACAACGGAATAGTTTTTTTGGGAAGGGGGAGTGAAATCAAATTTTGTTTAAAAAGTACAAAGTCGTCCTGAATTGGAAGGGGGGGGGGGAGCTCCCTGAAACACCTGGCTTTTTTGGAAGAGAGAGCAATGCAGAGCAGATATTTTTAGAAGTTCTACATCAAGGGTCTTCCAACTTGGCAAGTTTTAAGACTTGTGGACTTCAACTCCCAGAATTCCTGAGCTAACCTGCCTGGAGGAAGAGGAGGAATTCTGGGAGTTGAAGTCCACAAGCCTTAAAGCTGTCAAGGTTGAAGATCCCTCCGATCTAAAGTAAGGGTAATTTGGATTTTAATTCAAGAATCCCTGAATTAGTGCCTCTTAAAGTGTTTTTAATGCAGGTATTAAACCACCTGATTTGGGCTGGAGTGGATTAAATTCACGGTTCTCAACCGTGGCGATTTTAAAGCCGGTGGACTTCAACTCCCAGGATGCCGCAGTCTTTCCCCCCCCCCCCCAATAACTGGCCTGGGGAATTCTGGGAGTTGAAGTTCATCCATCTTAAACTTGCCAGAGTTGAGAACCCTAATAGGGGACATTCCCCAACCCCACGTATCACTGCAACCCCAAATGGGTTCGGCATGGAAGCCTTCCCTCCCTCCCATTCTTCAAAATGGAAACAAAACTCTTGGCTTTGTAGTGTCTTCAAAAGAGTTGGACTCTTTCGCTCAAGTGCATCATGGATCGCTGGGGAGCCAAGGCAGGAGTTAAGCCGAGTTAGTTAGTGGTCAACACCCCTCACAGGGAGATAGTTAAGTGCAACACGTTTAAGGAGTTTACCCTGGAGCAGCGTTTCACAACCTCTGCAACTTTAAGATGGGGGGGGGGGGGGGGGGCGGGGGGGGGGGAATTCTGGGAGTTGAAGTCCACCCATCTTAAAGTTAATGAAGTTGACAAACTCTGGCCCAGACGGAAGAAAAAAACCTTTTGAGATATTTTTTTTTTCTCTTTCGTTTTTCAAAAAGAAAGCTTTGGTATTCAAGGACACACACACACACACATGGACACACACACACACGCACACACACACACACACGTACGCACGTACCATGCCTTTTTGCACGCTCCCCCCTTACCGGAAGGAAAACATTAAAATTCCAGGACTACTTTTCTCGTTTTGGCAGCCATACATCGCAACCTCTTTGGCAGGGCTCCTTTTAAACTTTCGCGGTAGAAAAAAAAAAAAAAGACCTCCCCAAACCCCCTTAAAAAACCCTGAAGCATCTTTAGCGTATTTATATAGAGAGAGATATATAGAGATATATATATATATAATAAAGTATAAATTCTTGCATAGAAAATAACTTTTTTTAAAAAAATGGTTTCCTCTTTTTTTTTTCTGAGCGTGTTAAGGATAGAGAGCTTCATGAAGCGTTGAGTGCATGTCGGGGAACGTCGGACGGTTACATGATGCTGCAGTTGGAAGGAACCTAAGCGGGGTGGGGGGGAGAGAGAGAGAGAGAGAAGACAGACTTACAGAGCTGGAAGGGACCCCCAGAGGTCATCTAGACCAACCCCCCCTGACCGAGCAGGAGATCCTCTACCATTCCACGCCAATGGCCGTCCGGGGCTTGATGGAGCACTGACTAATCGCTCTCCCGATCAGGGAATTTCTCCTTAATTCCAAATTCAGGGCCGATCTAGAATCGGGCCTCCCTCAAAATACCGGCCAGCGACTGGTGGCTGCCGGTCCAAATGCTTACGGGGCAGGGACACAGGGACCCGCCTGCCCCAGAGGAAAAACAGGGCCTCCCCTCCCAGCTAAGCCTCTCTTTGGGTGTGCTCGAATCTCACTCCGGCCCCATTTCTGCACCCCAATTGATCAGTGTGACCCAAAATGGGCACAAGTTCCCAAACGCCAGGGAGGAACAGGGGGAGGCAGCCATCGAAACGATTTTCCAAAGTGCAAAGTTTTCTGCACAAAAAGTGCCCCAGCTCAGGGGCATCTTTGACAGCCCCCCCCCACCCACTCCAGTGCAGCCACCGAGCAGGCCCTGCAAAGGGCCACTTACATTTGCGGGGGGGGGGCAGGGATGGGGGTCCGTGGGCGATGTTCCACAGGGGGCGAGACACGATACCCAAACTGTTACCTCCCTTGTTCCAACCACCCCCAAGAGGGTTTCATACAAACACGGGGGGCTGGAAGGGCGCTCGGAGGTCTTCTAGTCCAACCCCTGTTCAAGCAGCAGGCCATATACCGTGCCAGACCGGACATGCCCCCCAGGGCACAAAGCCAACTGCAGCCGATTGCTCTCATGTGAACTTTGCAAAGCCAGAATAGCAATCGCCCTTAGACTTCTCATGGTGCTTTCCAGAGGTTTACAGAGTCAGCCTCTCGCCCTCCCGCAACAGTCTGGGTCCTCCTTTTACCCACCTCGGAAGGACGGAAGGCTGAGTCAACCTGGAGCCTGGTGGGATTTGACCTGCCAAGTTGCAGAGGCACCTGGCAGTCAGCAGAAGTAGCTTGCAGTACTGCACTCCCACCACCGCACCACCGAATGCAGCCTGTCAGGGTTTCAGTGGGGACCATCCCAGGCTTTCTTGCCCCCACCAATCCAAAATGCCCTGGCCGAGGAGCCCTGTGTGGCACAGGAAGCTCTGCCAACTCTCTGCCGGCCTGGAAGCGCCTTAAAGCCCCGACACACCGTCATAAGCGTCATGCCCTCCCCAGCAACGGGAGGAGGAGGAGGAAGGAGGGCCACTCCCAGTTGGAGGGCTCCCACCACAAAGCCGCCGCCTCCGGCCCAGGGTCCCACCTGCCCGCTGGCACTGACCTGCTGGCGTGGGGTGGAGCTGCCCAGGATGTAAGAGCGGGGCAGGAGGCTCTCCCCGAGGTTGGTGCCTCCGCTGCGGTAGCTGCGCGTGATGGTCAGGCTGGAGGAGGAGGAGCCGGTAGACATGGTGCTGGTGCCCACATTCGTGGCCCCGGAGGACTTCTCTGCCGGCTGCCCGCACGTCCCACACAACACCGTGCGGGAGCGCAGGTTGTACTCGCCCGGATCTCCGCTGCCGCTGCAGTGGCTCTGCAGAAGGAAGGAAGCAGGGAAGAAGCAACGCTTGGCACCATCCGGGCCGAGACCCCATCTGGGCTGGAGGTGCTGGATTCGTCCCTGTGGGGTCCTTGGCGCTCTGTGAACTTGGATGTTTTATTACCAAACTAGGCAACTTCGTCAGCACACTGAAGATGTTACCCAGTTGGGTCGTCAAACATCTGCCCCCAAGAGCTCCAAGGACCCCCACAGGTCAACCCTGAGCTAAAAATGCTCCTTCTATCAGATTCCTATCTTGCGACTCTTTTGACTCTGGCTTGTCTGGGACTCTGGAACCCACGATGACTTCTTTTAAAAAAATGGCCCAGGGTAGAATATACGTTACATTGATTTTATTCCAGGAATAAAAGATTACATCTGGATTGAAGCTAAACACATTTTTCTCTTTAACAGGCTTGTTCAATCCACAGGCCTGTTAAATGCAGCTGAATATTAAACTGGATTTCCAATGTGGTCTGAAGTGTCCGATACACACAAAGGCGACGCTTCTGTTATTCCGATTTCAGGTTTAGATTAAGAGATGTTTATTTTGTATTTTTTTAAGCGGCTGTGGATGCTGGGAAGATTCCGTCCCGAGTTCCCCTAGTATCATTTCCACCCACTCTCCCTGCAAAGGGACAGTGACTGAGTCAGTGACACGGGTGGCATGTGCATTTAATGAATAAAACCAACGGTAAATAAATAAGTACTGGCTTTTACTAACATTCTCTGTCATTTTGTTAAAACAAGAAGGGGTATATAGATATTTCAGAAGAAATATCTGCAAGAAAGCCAGCAAGCTCAGAGAACACACCAAGGACCCTTCGCTTCAACTCTGAGCTACCAATATCCGCCTTTATTGGTATAAAGATTTCAATTTGTACACCTGAGAATAATTAATTTATAAACACTGAGGATTATTTCACATGCATGCTTGCTTTCATTGCTATTTTTTGGAGGGGGAAGTCTTTCTTTATCCTCCGAATGCACTCATAATCTCAGTTGCAGACTAACGAAGACAACAAATTCTCTGCAGAGCCTGATTTTACAAAAAATCAGCTTCGGAGGAAGAATTTCTCTCGTGGGAGGTCTGTATCTAAGTAGTGGTTTTATCTACAACGAATATATACATACGCCCATACTTTAGTCAGACCTCAAACAAACCGCAATCAGCCATTGCAGCAGGGAAGCACACGGAGAGAGAAAGACACACCCCAACAGGGCATCTTATTATTATTACAGCTCTTAAAGTGATATCAACCCAAAAAACCTTCCTGTCTCGCATTCCATCATTGTAACAGCTGCTCAGCTCTTGAATCACCACCCTGACATCCTTGCCCCACAACCAAAGCCGTTTGCATTTTCGAAAACCCACCCCAAGTGCTGCTGAATTGTGTTTGTTCCCCATTTGAACCCAGCCCTCAGGAGGTGGGCAGAGGCCTCCCCACCGCCCGCCCCAAATAACTCACATGGTGATGGTGGCCATGGATGCCGTCCTCATCATCCTCTTCCTCCTCATCATTGACAACAATTGTGCGCACCAACTTCCGCATGGCCACCTCCTGCAGGGAGGGAGGGGGGGAGGGAGAAACGGGGGAGGGCTGATTCTGGTCCACCCCGGCTCAGGAGCATTTGGGAGGGAAACCGCCAGGAAAGCAAGCAGACAGGAAGAGGGGCTCGGCCTTGGCGCCCTCAACTGCGCTTCCCCGTACCAGGAGAGGAAAGCCCCTCCCCCACTGGCACCAAGAAAAGGGCCAGGATGTGTCCGCTGACAGCCCCCCCACCCCTTGTTCATCCAAGGGGTCCCATGTGCCGCCTCCCCCTTGCTGTGATTGTTTTGACGGGCTCTGAATTGTTTCAAAATTAAACGGGAATCGAAAGAGTCACAAAGGCATCATCTGGATTTCCAGAATTTATTTAGGGGGAAGGGGCATTTTTGGGGCAACAAAATTAGGGGGAGGTGGCCCCTCCTCTGATGAGGAAAAGAGGCAACTGAGGGGGTCAAAGGGGAGCTAGCCCCTCCCCAGCCATTTTACAATTATGCAGCCATAACCATCTATTTATTTTTGTAATTATAATTCCTCCTATATTTCTAATGGTTGTTCTAACTCTGTTTTGATTGCATTTTATTGCATTTGGAGGCTGTCCAGGGTCAGTCTGGACAGAGTGATTAATTGCACAATCCAGAGTTAAGTTAATTGAATTAGCTGAATAGGGTCTTGTCTCCTTTTCCAATGGCAAGTTCTACCCCTTTGCGGTGGGGTCTTCCCGCCCGCTCAGCCCTGAATCCCGCCCGCCTTACCTCTCCACTGGAGGTGAGCAGGGCCGTGCGCAGGCTGTCGCCGGAGCCCCAGGAGCTTTGGTTCTTCCAGACCATGTCCGTGGGGGGGTTGTGGGACACCCCCGCACCCGCAGCCCAGATCTTGCAGGAGAAGGAAGAGAAGAGGAGGCTGATCCCGCTTTCAGGGCACAGGCGCCAGAGGGGCGGGACGGGACGGGGCTCCTCCTGGCATCTCGCCTCCCCCATCCTGGGACCCCCAACTGCTCCTGCCCGCCAAGCCCACCCACCGTTGCTGCTCACCGTGACCAGCTGGTTGGCCTTCAAGGTGAATTTAGGAGGGAACCTGTAGCTTATGGGGGCGTCTTCTCCATTCTGGCGCTTGATCTGCCAGTTTCCCAGCGACTGGTCCTGAGGCGGGCACAAAAAGAGGAGACGTGGTGGCATCTACAGGGGCTTAGAGGGCCCAAGAGATGCCAGGTGGGCTTGGGGGGGCGGGCAGGAAGGCGATTAAGGGGTTAGTAGAGGGAGTGAACGTTTAAGTGCACTAACATGCCTTTTGTCCCCAGCATTGCACTTTTATTCTTTTATTCTGTTCTCGTTTTTGTTTGACCAATTCAGACAGACAGACAGACAGACAGACGCAAAGATAATGGATGAGTAGATAGACAGATTAGATAGAAATCGATAGATAGGATTAAATAGGGTTAGGGGTTATATAAGGGGGATTTCACATGGGAATGCATACTGGCACTTAGTTTAAAATTGCTGGAAATTATTTTAGGATTATGTAACTATATACTGGATATATATAAAATTGTATGTGAATTATGCTGTTCTGAACCCTTATATTGGAGGATTAAAAATGAGATATATTAAGAAGCTGTTTTAGCAACTTCACGGAGGATACCGTAAAATATATATGTTTTAAAATATACAGTTGATTATTTAATGTTAATATGTTTAAAGTTGGGGAATGAATTATTAAATCAGAGAGATTGAAGGGATATACCATGTGGATCCTAAACATATTGGTTTTTATTTTATTCTTTCTAGATTGTTGATTATATAATTGGCCTAGGAAAACTTTAGGATAACAACGATGTGTAATGTTGAATAAAATAGGCGGTAAGCTGAACATGGAAATAATAGGGGATAAAGAACTGGGAATCTTATATGTGGATGAAAAGATATTGATATTGAATGAATGAATTGAAATATGAAATGGAAACTTAAAGACGAGTGAAACGGACAATGATATGAGATGATAGTATATAAGATTGGTGGAAATGAAAGTATGATTATGTACAAGTGTTATAATCTGGAACCACATTGTCCATGTAAAGAGATTTGTAAAATTAAAAAATTAAAAACTTTTTTGAAAAAAAAGAGGTAAGATAGACAGATAGATGATAGATAACGATAGATAATGATAGATAGATAGATAGATAGATAGATAGATAGATAGATAGATAGATAGATGATAGATGATAGATAAATAGATAGATAGATAGATAGATAGATAGATAGATAGATAGATAGATAGATAGATAGATGACAGATCAGGAGTCTTCAAACTTGACAGCTTTAAGGCTGGTGGACTTCAACTCCCAGAATTCCTCCTCCTCCAGTCACCTTAGCTCAGGAATTCTGGGAGTTGGAGTCCACAGGTCTTAAAGCTGTCAAGTTTGAAGATCCTTTTATGTTGCTTCTCCAAACGTTCAATAAAGTTATAAATAAAAACGTTCTGCATCCCTGTTGACCAGATGCCAGAGAGACTCCATGGGGAGCCACCACAAAGCCAACGCCGGCGCTCGGAAGCAGGGAAGGCAGCCTGGATCCTGCCAGCGCCTTTGGCTACAGCCAAAATCCAGCCATCACACCCCCTCCGAGCTAGATTGGCATTGGCTGTTCTTAGCACAGCTGCCCTCCCCTCCCTCTCCCATCCCATCCTGCGTTTTGGGGGCCACCTTCAAAAGAGGCGGGGGCTGCACCCACAAAGGCACGGCGGCCGCCTCTTGCAGGCCCCCCGGGGCCCGGATCCTTTGGGGGCCCCCCACCCCCCCAGGGGCAAAGGGCTTCCTCCGCCCTCCTTGGCACACCCACCTCATTGGACTTATTCCTCAGCCGGACAAACTTGCCCTCCAGGTCCACCTCCTCCACGGCCACGCGGCCGCTGGTCCGGGCATGCTGGGAGAAGCTGGTTCGGCTCTCGCCGTCCTCCAGCTTCCTTTTCTTGGTGGAGCTTTGCCCGGAGGAAGAGACGCGGATGCGAGAGCCGCTCTTCTGGGAGGAGGGGCTGGGAGAGAGGCGCAACCTGGGGGGGGGGGGGAGACGGAAAGGGATGCACCCGCGCTGTCCCCAGAGAGCCAGTGCCCCCCGCCCCCGCCGTGCCCAGGGAAGGGCCCAAGTCAAGCGGGGCTAAACGGGCCCCCGAAGCCTCCCCCCCAAGGGGGGGGCAGCGGGGCACCCCCCCCCCCCGACCTGCCCAAGTCTGAACCGGATCGCGGTCTGTCTACTGATGCCCGAGGAGGGAGGGGACCTCTTCCCCGCAGACCCTCCGGGGCCGCCCCTGAAGGTCCCAGACTGGCCTGCCCAGCTTCGCCGGCCAAGCAGGGCCAGGCCACCGCCCCCACCTCTCCTCCTCGCCCTCCAGGAGTTTGCGGTAGGCGTTGATCTCCATGTCCAGGGCCAACTTGATGTCCAGCAGCTCCTGGTACTCGTCCAGCTGCTGCTGCATGCGGGCCCGCATCTCGGCCATCTCCCGCTCCTTGTCCGCCAGGATGCGGCGGCTGGTATCCCGCTCCCTGGCCAGGGCGTCCTCCAGGTCCCGCAGCTTCGCCTCCTTGGCCGCCAACTGGGGTGCGGGGTGGGGTGGGGGGGAAGGCAAGAGAGGGGCTGAGGGCCTGGATGGGGGGAGGGGCGAGAGGACCCCTCCCCCAGCTCACCCCAATCCCTTTTCACCCGATCCAAAAGGGCGGGGTCTCCTCCTACAGCAGGGCTGCCCAAAGATACATCCCGTCCTTGATCCCGCCCCCAAAAAAAGATTGCAAGGGGGGGGGGAGTGCCCCCCCCCGCTTGCCAGCTTGCAAAGCTGCGACGTTCCTCCCTCAGGGAGGGGACAGCAGAGGGAGGGGGGCCTGTAAGGCGGCCGACGGGATGTTGCTCCACTTACGACCGTTCTGTCTGTTGCCTGATTTTATCCAGCTTTTTGGTTAAAAAGGCAAATTGCCACGGTCGTTAAGTGAAGCGTGTAGTCATGAAGGGAAGCGGGACTTCCCCCATTGACTGCTTTGCTGGAAGCCAGCCAGGAAGGTTCCCCCAGGGTGATCGGGGACCCCAGGAAGCTGCCACCATGGTAGATCCACGCCGGTTGCCCGGCGCCCAATTTGGATCATGGGACGGCAGGGACACCTCAACCGTCGTAAGGGTGAGGACGGCTCCTCCGTCTTTTTTTATCCCAGGGCCACCCTAACATGGAACAGCCACGGCCTGGACCCCCAAATCTTCCCAGGGGGACCCACAAACAGGCACCCCAAAGCGAGTCGGAGCGCCTGGACCGGCCTTTTCCTGCTCACGGAGCCAAAGGGGCCGATTTCCCCACCTGGAGACCGTTGGCCCCTCCCCCCGCCCCTCCGCCGGGCCCCCTACCTGCTTCTGCAGCTGGCTGAGCTGGGCGGAGAGGCTGTCGATGCGGATCCGGGTCTGCTGAAGCTCCTCGTGAGCCGCCCCGGCCATGTTGCTGTTCCGCTCGGCCGACTGCTTGGCGTTCTCCAGCTGCAAAGGAGGAGAAGCCGCTCGGGAGGTTGGCGCATTGCTAAGGCGCTGGTCCTCAAGGCTGCCCCCCCCAAGGCCAAGAGCTGGCAAGGCCCCCCTCTGCCCCAGCCCCCCCCCCCACCTGAAGGGCCGCCCTCCTCCGAAGGCTGCAATGAGGGAGAGCCGGCCGGCTTCTCTGCGCTCCAGAGCCCCCGGAAGGGAGGGGGCAGCAGAAGCGGGCCGGCTTTTGGGGATGGCGGGAGCGGGAGTCCACCCCCCCCGCCCAGGGGTGCTACCTTGGCCGCGTAGGTCTTCTCCAGCTCGTCCTTGTAGAGCTTGACCTGGGCCTCGTGCTGCCCACGGAGGTCCTGCAGCGCGTCGGCCAGCTTGTTCTCGAACTCGCGCTGGCGCCCGTTGTCGATCTCCACCAGGCGCGTCTCGTGGCGGCGCTTGGTCTCGCGGAGCTCCTGCGGGGGGGAGGGGGGGCAGCGGGTGAGCAGGGTGTCCCAGGACTGTCAAGAAGGCACGACAGCCCCCCTCCCGACTGTGACCCGTCGTGTCCCCCCCCCCAGCCCCAACCTGCAGCCCCCGCCATCCAGCGGCTCCTCTGGGGGGGGCCGTTTCCAGACATGGGGAGAAGAGGCTGCAAGAGGATGTCTTACACTGGGATTCCGGCCGTTACCCCCATTTAAATCCTGAGTCTCGAGCCAAACTTCCAAAACTTCCAAAGGATTTATTGGGAGTTAACATGCCAGCACTGCCTGGGTGGAGCTGACTCTGAGGCACGTCATTCATTGTCCCTCTTGACCCTGGTTTTCCCCCTCACCCCCTGGGTGTATTGTAATTCATATCCTCCAATGGGACACCTCCATAGCCCAGAGTCAACAATTCGATTATTGACTCCAGTTAGATTTTTGCTGGGCCGGCTGCCTGCCCCAAGTCAGGGTGGCGAGTTCAAGTTTCGCCATTTGGGCTTGGAAGATTAATTAGTAGTTATTGTTACTTGAAACATTGTGAAACGTAAAGCGGTGGGGGGGGGCGGAGTTGCATGCCACTGTACAGGCAGTCCTCGACTTACGGCCAACAATTCAGCCCAAAATTTCTCTTGCTAAGGGAAACATTTGTGAAGTGAATTTGGCCCATTTTTGACCTTTCTTGCCATGGTCGTTAAGCGAATTCCCTTCACTATTTAACAACATGGTCGTTAAGTGAATCTGCCTTGGACTTTGCGCGTCAGAAGGGTTGCCAAAGTGGCGGCCCCGGGGATGCCGCAGCCACCGTACAGGGGAAGCACAGTCACAAACCACCTTTTTTCAGTGCCGTTGTAAATTTTGAACGGTCGCTAAATGAACCGCTGTAAATCTAGGACTGGCTGTATTGAAAGAAAAAAAAAGGTGTCGGTCTCCATCTTTTCCTTTTCTAACTTTTCCTTTTTCTCTCTATCTTTATTCTATGACGAAACTTCATAATTAAATTTATTTCAGAATTTGGGAGGGGGGCTTTTACGGAGAGAGACCCCCAACTCCAAGTAAGGAGGAATTCCCGGCCCTCCGAGCCATGAAGCAGCAGAGTCCCTTCCCGAGCCGAGACGGAGCAGGATCCCTGCCCTAGACGGGGCTGGGCTGGATGGCCTCTAAGGGACCCCTTCAGGGACTCACCTCGCTGTAGATGTTCTTCTGGAAGTCCAACTCCTCCTTCAGGGTCTGCAGCCTGTTCTCTGCATCCACCCGCCGCAGCATTTCGTCCTGCAGCTGCTTCTTGACGTCGGCCAAGGCCGTCTCCAACTGCAGGGGGACAAACGGGGGACCCCCGTCACGCCCTGGAAGGGACAGCGACTGGCCCCAGGCCCTCTGGCCGCCTGGCCGGGGGAGGGGCACGTTGCAGGAGGCGGCTCTGGCCAGGCCGGGCGCACAACGTCTGTCTCTCCCAGGCGCCTCTCTAGACCGGGGAGGGCGAACCTCTTCCACACTGCGTGCCAAAAGTGTGCGCGCATGCGCCTGTCTGCCTGACCCATGACGCCCTGAGCACGTGACTCCCCCTGCCCCCTGCGCACCGCGCGCCTCTGTGCTTCCATGCGTAACACCACCACCGCCGCCACACCCCTCTGTGCATGTGCACACAACCCCCTCCCAGCGTGGCGCGTGCCTCTGCTCATGCGTGCGCGTCTCCCCCCCCACGCATGCGCATCAGATAGCCGACAATCAGCCGGCTGGTGGGCGCCGCGCACACATTCGCAGTGGGGGCTCTCTCGGGCCAGAGGTGGAAAGCAGAACCTTCTCCCTGGGCCAGCCTCTCTTCTGGCCTCTGACATGCACATGTGTGCCAGCCAGGGGGTCTCCAAAACCAGGCCGTTTTCCGGTCATTTCCAGGCCATTTCAGGGGGTGTTTTCTGGGGTGTTTTTCGGCCATCTTTGGGGCTGTTTTCAGCCTGAAAAACAGCCTCCAAATGGACAAAAACTGCCCCCCAAAATGCCATAAAAGCAGGCATGTGCAAACCGGCCAGCTGGGCTTCGGTTTTCTGGCCCTCCGGCACGCGGACATGCACACACATTCTGGTTTGGGCACTGGGTGCTGAAAAGGTTCGCCACCACTGCCGGGCCCTCCGATCGTGGCCCCTTTAAGACTGGTGGACTTCAACTCCCAGATCTGCTGGCTGAGGAATTCTGGGAGTTGAAGTCCAGCAGTCTTAAAGGGGCCACGGTTGGAGGGCCCCTGCTCTAGACCCCTCGATGCCCAATGTGCCTGCCACACCCCCAGCTGCTCCATGCTCCCAGAAACATCAGGGGTGTGAGTGTGCATGTGTGTGGGTGTGTGGGTGTGAGCCCGATCCTCTTAAGCTACCTTCCCCCAAGTAAAGCCTGGAGTTCAGAAGCCAGAAACGTCAAGGGGGTGTATGTGCGTGTGTGTGCATGTGTGTGTGTGTGTGTGTGTGTGTGTGTGTGTGTGTGTGTGTGAGCCCGATCCTCTTAAACTACCTTCCCCCAAGTAAAGGCCTGGCGTTCAGAAGCCGTCAATCCTAATGGAAGCTCCTCCCCATCAAGGCCTGCCGTCCCCTTAGAGAAGGGGTGTCAAACTCGAGCTTAAATCTGGCCCACCTGGAAATACCAAAGGACCGGCCCGTGGTGCCTCTGCTGCCCCAAAAAGGCCCGTGCGAGGCTCCCCCACAACCCGTTTTCAGCTGGCAGAGCGCTGCAGGAGGCGTCCACCCTGTCTGACCCGCCTCCCCGCACCTGCCAGCCCGTAGAGGAGAACTACAGTGCTGATCCGGCCCTAAAGAAATCCACTTGGACACCCCTGTTCTTAGAGGCTGCAGGGAGTGAAAAAACCTCTGGACTTTAGAGGGTCTAAAGTAGAAGGAAAGCCAGCTTCATCAGGTGGTGAAGGCACCAGACTAGCAACCAGGAGGCTGGGAGTTCTAGTCCCGCCTTGGGCGTGAAAGCCGGCTGGGAACCTTTGGGCCAATCACCAGGAGACGGGGAGTTCTAGTCCC